ACCAATTTATGGACATTAGTTCATGTAAATGGAATATTCCAGTCCATAATTTACACCATATATGATCGGTATTAAATTTATCGGAATTTATTTTATATTAAGGCCTTAGGAACGTCGATGGAAAAAAGGGATAATTCTGCAAAATGTGATATAAAAAAGTGATTTAGCGTACTAAAACTATGGTAACGGACTGTTATCTAATCAATATGCTGTCATGCTGCTATAAGAAACATCTAATTAGCCTAATTATTTATCGAATATAATTCATCAATAAAACTATAAGATTTCAGGTTACCATGCCAACGGATCTGTTTTCTTATTACACAACTTTTATCATTAAATCAATAAATAAATACCTCAAGCTCCTCTTGTTTGACGTTGTCAAGCAGTTAATTTTATACATTGGTTTCGATATACTGAGTGACTGACTGGTTTCAACATACAACTTTGCACAGATGTGCAGCACTTCGAGTCGCCAATCTCAGTCTATGTAGCACACATAAGATAAGAGGACAAAGTAAAGAGAGATTCAAAAGAGAAAGAGATAACAAACACAAATGAAAGAACAACAGAGCTTTATTGAGTGTGAAAAATCACAAAAAGTGAATGAATGCATTCGCGCTGTCACTGACAACGATTTTGAACCAGCCATATCAACAATTATCTCCACCCTTCATTGGTTCCGATCTTCATCCCGAGGACACCAGCCAACCAATCAGCCAGTCAGGAAGCCGGTCTACATCTCCCTACGTGGTTGGCTAGCTGGCTTAAACTAACTAACCATTGTTGTGGATCTCACTGACCGACTAATGAAGTCTGCTATCTTTTAGTTTGACCGCCGCCGCGTGCTAGCTAGCTAGCTCTTTTCCAACCTGATCCATCCATCCTTTGTCCGTCCTTTGCCCTTCGGCTGAAGAAGGCAATGGGTAGATAGATGGATGGCTGGGAATACTTGCATAACACATGCCCTAAGCAGCATTACTAATTTAGCCATTTTGATATACAAGGTCAACTACCAGACCAGGTTAGAAGCTGTCAGTTAAGTAGAAGCCAAAATAAAATTATACAAGTAAACTATGTGACTTAATACACTCTGGACACCAAGGTAACCCACAAGCCAATTTAAAAGTCTTCTATAGAATACGCAGGAATTTAGCTAAAAGAGGATCAAACTCCTTTAAACCGGTTAAGCAATGGCGACTAACATGTTAAATCCCGAACTCTGTATACGGAAAAAGTTTATGTAGTCCTTAAATCTAATATGAGCCTGATCTGTCTTAACCCCTTTCTACCATACTTCTACCCTTCATCATCACTGTTATTAACTTGACTGCCATTCAGTTTTAGTGGAATTCTACTCAGCCCCGTGAATTTTATCACGTCAAACAATTTACTTATTTAATTTCACTTCAGTTTCTACCAGGTTAACACTTTTTATACTATGTAATTTGTTATCTGGAAATTACAATTCCAATGACACCTCTTTGGAAATATTCCTCTTGTGTCTAAGATGATTTAATACATGCATATATATGTATGCACTACTGAACAGCTTGAAAATAATATCGCTGAGAAGAGGAGTAACTCCTCGCTAAACGTATTTTCTTCTACAATACTGCTGTATAACACTGTGACACTTTATCAGATAAATTTTACCACACGATAGAGAAATAAGAGATAATTCAGCCAAGAACATTTTCTTCATCGATGAAATCATCTTCAGAGGAGGTACAATCACATTTATGTTTACCAAAACCGTATAATAGTCTATTTTTTAAGGAAATAAGAAGAGATTGACATAATTGATACAATTCATCAGAAGTGGTTTCTTAAAATAAAGTGAAAATATTAAGCAATAATCAATGACACACTGGAAATAAATGATTAGAGATTTTATACGATGAATATTATTATTCACAGTCCAAACTGGTCACTGACCCTCAGTAGTATCGAAGAAAACCACATTCATGAATCTGGAATTCAAATGTGAATTGGCTTGAGGCATTCTCGAAAACTGACTCTCTAAATCAGTCAGTTCGCGGTTCTTTGTAGCAAAATTACAAGTGACATCCACCAGCCGTAAGTTGTTTTTCTCCGTCTCTGTATAAGATAAGGTCCCTCGTCTGACCGCCTCCATGTGCATCTATCAATTCACCTACTCCTCTTGGGGCGCAAGGTATATTGGCCGTAGCCAGAGAACGCTTTCCACACGGATATGAGAGCATGTTCCAGCAGCAATGGCTTTGCGAGGGAGAAATCAAGGATGGGCGAAGCTCTAATCTAGAACACTTGATGGATTTCTGTGTCACTCTACCAACCCTGACCATGATTTTAAGATCAGCATCTGTCCATTTCATGCTAACTTGCCGGCCTTGGTTTATTCCTTGTAAACTTTTCTTAAGACACCGGAGACCTTGTCTACTGATTCATGAATTTAAGCCAAACACATTTGTGTACAAAAGAAGTATGTAAAATCCTAATTTGTACCTTGACCGTAGAGGGATGCACAGTTATTACTTTTTATTTTTGTTTATTTAGTCAATCTATGTACCTTTCCCTCATTACTATTATTATTATTACGCTCACTTTGAACTGTTTGCACTTGTTCACTTGTCACTCTAAGTCAAATCTTTTTTTACAATGTTGAATTCTATTCTATCAAACTTCAAACCATGTTATGTAACGCTTTTATTTTATTTACCTACTGATCCTATAATTATTCACTCCCTTCATCTATACGTCCATTTTATGAATTATTCTCTATTTATATGACACTAGTTGTTTTGCCACACATGACACTTGATATTTAACTATGATTATAATCATAAATATTTCAATTGCACTTCATACTATTGTTATTTTATGTATTTCGCACCTTTGTTTCAATTTTCTCACGAGATATAATTTCTTAATATAAAAACCCAGCTTGATAATAAATTCGTTGAAAATAGTCTCTTCACTGGATATTGTGTTCATAAGATGAAAATTATTATTCGATGAGACACAAGCCAATTTTTTGTCCACTTGGTAAGGATGAAGACAGTAAGGGAAAAAACTGCCTAAAATGTACAAAAAGGAATACATGAGAGTGATAATACTGAATTAGTTATTAAAAATAAAAACAAATGATTAGAGGAGAGATAGAATTTATGTATGGTATCTTTTCTAATCTATTACGTTGAAGGACTTTTCACCAAATAGAGCTGAATGTTCTGAATTCAGTAAATGTTCGCCAGCCAGCCAGGCTAGGTAGTCTTCCCGAGAGAGTTTTAAAACGGACGCATGGTACGGCAAATGTACCCGGCTCCACAAGAGCAAATTAACTGGTATATATATATATGTTGAAGTGGCCCAATGTGGGCGACAGTTTGTCTTTCACGTACTTGCTGGTCGAACAGTTTCTTTCACAATAAAATATTGCTCGTATGCTGGCGGCGAACCGTTGTTCTACTGAGATTTTGAAACCGTCAACGGAGAGACGTTCTGCCTCAATACCACTTTCAAATTTGAGCTTGGGCATTAGCGTGTTTTTGGGAGCGACTTAGACCTCTTTGTATATCTTTTTGGTTTTAGATTCTTGTCTATGAATCTGGATGGAGGGAAATCATTTTCTATCTAGGTCCCTCAGAGATTTCTCAATTTTTCGTTAATTGATTCTTCGGTACATATTTTCCGGATCCTCGAGGAAAGAGAGGGAGAGTAACGAGTGGTTTCTCTTTCTGCTTAGAGGAACACAACTTTAAAAAAACATTGATAAACTGTCCGTCCCATGTGGGCTTTTTGTAGAGAAGTGGATCTTCTCAAGGAGCTGTCAGTATTTCTTCGCAGTTTAACACTGAGGAAATGAGACATTGAGTCAGATTCAATTTCTAGAGTGAAGTCAATGTTTAGGTGGGCGTTATTGGAGGATTGGAGTAGGTTTATAGATCGCAATTCCAGTCACAAATAATGAAAGTATTACCAGTGTATTTCTTCTTGTGGAGATGAAGCTCGTCGACGGTTGATCACGGGAAACTGTTTTCTAGGTTAGCCATAAAGCAGTCGGCAAGACAGGTCCTACAGGAGAACCCACTGCTACTCCATAACAATTGGCCTGCATATCTCATTGTTGAATCTAAACTAGTTGTTGGAAGTTCATCGTAGTAACAGCTCCTTTATATAATGCCTTGGTAAACCAATATCGATGCTATTGGATTGAATGAAGTCACAAAAAAAGCATATAGTCTCTGTCAGCGTAACGCTGGAGAGACCTGTTACTTGTCGGCCATTTTGACAATCTTATTTAAATCAGTTAAATCGAAGGTGTCCTGGAAGTCGCATCTCGACAGTTTTCCTTTCACCGGTCCAAGAATCTCTACCAGCCACTTCACGATTGAGTGATACGGACACATTTGTCACTTCTAATATTAGGTGGAGTGAGACGTCTTGTTTGTGTCCTTTAGGTATGCCTTCAGGTATGCTGCTTGTAAAAAGCACTGGAGAACACTATCCAGAATAGTTAGCAGCAAAGGGAGAACGCAAGGGGTTTATTATATATTTCTTACTTATTTCTAATGAGCTTAGAAAAAAATTAACTGACTAAGCTCTGGTGTATGAAATGTTAAAAAAATTAATTAGATCAGAATTCCAGACAAGATCGATGCAATGATACTTTACAAATGTTTTGTTGTTAATTTCAAACGGAATAAAGTTATACATTTAGAAAAAACAGTATTTAGGTCTAATCATGTCATTTCTCTGAACCAAAATTTTTTTTCATTTCTGGCTATATGGTTGGTTATTGTTTTTTGCTTAAAGTCCAGTTAATCAATTATCGCATCACACCATCGTTATCAAACTTATTTTGGTCCCTTTCGTAATGCCCTCGCATTTGCATGACCTTGACACGATTTATCCAACAATCAATAAGGTGGTAGGTGGTAAAATGACCAATCACATACATTTTGTAAACACCGTCGTTATGGTTACAATAGCAGTATAAATATATACATATTTTGAAATAATAAACATATTGACTGTTAGTTAATATGTAAATTAACTAATTATTTTTTTTAATAGACTTTCTTTTATTCCTGAAATATTGTCACACAGCTCAATATGTCTTTCAATTTACCCACCTCCAAACTACATAACGAATCAAAATATCTTTGATGAAATAACGAGGTGTAATTTCAAATGACTTCAACACATACTTCAAGTCGTCCAACTGGAGATATAATAATGAAATTGTTGACAGCATGTCGTCGTGGAGATTTAGATTATTTGGGTAAATTCCTAGTGGACGGTGGGAATCTACGCAATATTATTGATATACAAACAGGACAAACACCACTGCATTACTGCGTCAAATGTATTGAAGAGAAAGATGACAATACCAAAGAAAATCAGAATAGTAATGATGATGATAATGATCATAATATATTTAAACAGTATGATCGGCTGAAGTGTACTCGAGTGATTATAAAATCAAATCCAGAATTTCTAACTTCTTTCGATCATAAAGGTTTTACGCCGATGCATTTAGCAGTGGTACATGGAGATATTGAATTTCTAAAGGTATTAAATGAATTTGGCAGTATTGATATGAAAATCAAAACAAAGGCGAAATCCTTACTTTCATCGTCAACAGCGACATCATCAGAATCCAATGAGTCGAATGAAATGAATCATAATAATAATAATAATAATAATTCAGGTCGGACAGTTTTACACTTATGCGTCATATACACCCAAATAGAAGTTCTAAATTATTTTCTCACGAACTTAAATACAAACTCTGTTAAACAAGTGATTGATGAAAGTGATGATCAAGGTGCGACAGCCCTACACTATTCTGTTCAAGTGAACCCTGAACAAATTGATGAATTATTTGAATTATTGGTGAATATTGGTGGCGCGAATCTAAATTCATGTGATACACATGGACGTACCCCATTGATATGGGCAGCTACAGTTGGAGCTAAACACGCTGTGGAATCATTGCTTGCCTTGGGAGCTAATTTGAATCATAAAGATACACATGGTCTAACTGCACTACACTGTGCTGCTTCTAGAGGTCATTTGTTAACTGTGCAAGCAATTCTAAATTTTATATGTCTAGCGAATAAAGACGATGACAGTAAGGTGGCGGCGTTCCGTGATGTCTGTGATAATGATGGTTGTAGTCCATTATTTTATTCGGTTGCAACAGGTCATTCTAAAGTGACTGAATGTCTGCTTAAGGCTGGAACAGATGTGATGCATTCAGACTACAAAGGTCGTACTGTATGTCATTGTTTAGCTCGGTTGAACTCGTTAACCAATGGGGTGAAATGTGAAAAGTTAATTACCACTCAGTTGGAGGATTTAATCAGGGCTGGTTTGGATCCATGGAAAGCAAATAACAGTGAAGCAACTGCTCTTCATGAAGCCTGTTTACTGCGGAATTTTTACCTCATTAAACATTTAGCTAATTTACCCGGCTTCAATACCGTGATTAATGCCAGAGAATCACAAGGGCACTCCCCACTGCATTTAGTTGTAGCCGCATCATGGAGTGTTGAACAGTCGGGGATAAGATTGTGTCAATTTCTTCTAGATCATCACGCCGACGTGAATGCGGTTACATATCTGCCAAATGGTGAACGTGTTACCCCATTGAATTTAGCCTATTTAAATGAAACAAGCGATGAGAAGTCGAAGACTGCACTGATTGATCTGCTGAAACGGTATGGGGCTAAAACATATCAAGAATTAATGTTAAGTGACGGAAAGAATAATACTGATTGTAGTCAAAATGTTCACAATAATAATGATAATTATATTAGCAATCACAGTGAATACAATGATAATACCAATAATAATATTAATGATAGTGTCGACAACTTATCCGTGTCTGGTTACGTTTCGTCTCCAGAAAAAGAATTAAAACTGACCAGTGAGAAGCAAATCTTGTGTTTAACCAAAAAAGATGTTCAGACCGGCGAGAAAGAACTACCAGTAATAATTATGACTGATTCAGCGACGGAACCAATCGAGTCGCTTAATTTGTGCTCAACGCTGAAAAAAGATTCCGCTGTACAAGCCTGTTTGGATAACAGGAGAAGAAGAGGAAGAGGAGGGAGAAGGCAGACACAGAGGATTTCTATTTCATCTTCAAACTCTCAGTCAACAGATAAACTAATAAAGCAGGATAATAGCATTACTACAGTGTCGAATTACTACACCGAAACACATAAACACCCTCATAAGTCAGGTTCTGAAAGCTCTTTATCTGTTAGTGCAACTGAAACCGAGGACGGTAGAAATAATATTTCGAGTCGTTACGATGATATTCATCGTAGCGCAAATGCTTCACGACAATTAATTGTACGTATGCCAAGTCCTCCATCTAACTCCACAGTGAAGAATGACGAGTTCAGTTGTCTAGTTGAACCCATCAAAAATAACGGCAAGACAAGTGATGATAAGACCACTAAGAATAAACGTCTAAATCATAAACTTTCTAGTTCTAAAATCTCTACGAAAGTTGATGGCGATGACAAAGTTGTACAACCATATTCACAAATCTATTTACAAAGGCAATTACCTATAGCTGTGAAAAAATACTTAGAGAAAGAGAACTATAATTACTCCTCGTTGATAAGACGTTCTCGAATGCCCAAACCAACCATATCGCCATATCTTCAGCCAGTTGTACCTGGCCTGCTACTTTTACGTAATCAAAGACAATCGACAAACACTGGTAGAAAGAGCATTCAACATCGACATCGGAGTGATGATGACATACAAAGAAAGTATAATATTCATCAGTCGGCTAATGTTACAACAAACAATAATAACAATAATCCTAGTTACCCTGGTCATAACCATCAAATTAGATCAAATTCTGCCTGCCATATGAAACCGAACAACAACAATAAGCAAGTCACATCAACATCACCCTGTTCAATAATAGATCCCACCAATCGTGGAAGATATTATACGGGGAATAAGACTGCCAAACCTGCGCAAAGACGTTCACAATCATCAAAACACTTGCCTTCATCTAGTCATAATATTGATGCTCATGTCCAGCAAAGTGTTGCAGACTATGAATTCTATCGATACGTGAACCAGTTATTAAAAGAAATTAGTCCAAGAACACGAAGAAAAACAAAGTTAACCAGACCAACAACAACTTCACCTTCAATCCTTCCAAAATCATCATCGTATGTATCAAAAAGCAAGTTATCCGTTAATGATTACGCTGATGATGAACAACACTCAGCTATGGGAGGTGAACTGACACCTGTCGGTGATCGGAACAAGGCGTCAGATGATGTAGAGAGAAGAAGAGTGGAAATTACTAATCAAAACAAAGTGTTGCTTACAGGTGGTAAAAGGTTAAATGGAGCGAGTGCATACACAAACACTAAAAGATAAAGGAACTAATAACTCTTTGGCTATTTTGATAAAAATACAAAACAAAACATTAAATTTTATTTTCTGACAAACATAAATCACAATCACAATGCCTGTCAACAGCATTATTTAACTGTGTCAGGTGACATAATGACTAGAGTTATAATTTCGCATAAATCATGTCTATATAAATACAACTACATATATGTATTGTAACAGGTACGTGTAATTCTTTAATTACTGTTTCCGAAAAAACGAAAGTGCTGTTTCTTCTCATGTGATTTCATTGTGTAAATAACTACGATTGAATATTTGGGGTGATTATGTAAGTAACGGTTGTCTCGTACACACACACACAAATGCGCATCCTACGTGTGCTTAGATTTGTGCTTGTGCATGTGTCTTCAGCTCACCGAGACACAAAACCAAGAATTCAGTGGACGGAACTCTCCGGCCAACGATTTAATTTTCATAGCTGTACAATCGAATATATATATAAACAAGGAAATACATATTTTCGGGAAACTGTCATTATGCTTTACATTTACATAATGATGAAGTATTAGTCATAGGCATTTGAATTAATGTGATTAATAAAATATCAAGTATCAGAGTTCAGGGATGTGAATTAGTCGATCAGATAATGTGATCAAATAATAATAACAAGGGTGAATTCATTCAAGTGCTTATATAAACTAGGCAACGGTGTACGTGTATAGTATAGATAGAATGTGTATACTAACTAGTACGGGTAGAGTGGAAAATAACTATTGTCACACAGCGACTAGATAATATAATAATAATGAAAATAATAAATTGTGAAACTGAGGTTAAAATGTACAACTACAACACACCATGATATTGATAATACAGTTAGCATTACAAATAAATTAATAAGATATTTACAGTTATCCAGTGTCACCAAGAGAGATAACTATTTTAAGTTGAGGGTGAAGTTGATCAAGGGAGGGAAAGAGACTGAACAAACTTTTCCTGAACACAGAGATTGGGTTGGAAATTTCGTTTTCTAGCAACCGCTTCAGCCACCTATGCTTAGAAACCGAAGACGTACCAATCTACCTAGGGAGATGAGGCAGCGCCTTAAATAAATCACCTTGTTAAAGCTGAATTTTCGTCAATCTTGTGCTCCGTATTCACCACAAAATGTGCCAATAGGTGGGAATTCTGACTGACTTTACGACTCCATTACGTAACCAACCACGTTGGACAATGCTTATTCAGGAAGGTGACGGTCTGCTTGTTGAGTTAGTCGTTCTACCCACCTATGATGTAACTGTCTGCACTAAAACAGTTAAATTTATAAATGCACACTGATGGGGTGGCCAGATTCGGTGCCTTATCTTTCACCTGCGCATTGGAATGATACAACGAACGAGTGGTGAATTTCAGACATAATGTTGCAGCAGCGAATAATGTTTTAGCTATTATTTTTTGAAGTTTCGATGCCAGTACTTCAGTTGCTGTGTCTCCTTTAAACGGTATATATATATATATACCTTTCCTCTGTACCGCTTGCAGGCACCTTTTTCTATCTCCTCCTCAAAGAGACTTGAACAAATTTTTCGGGGTATTCTTTCTCATATTATATTTTCCCTATTTTCCAATTACAACAGAAAATAACAACCAGTTTTTCTTTTGCTGGGTGTGTGTAAAAGTTTGACAGTGAGTGGAAATACCAAAGTGCGATAATATTGGTGTACAAGATTATGAGTCACACTCGATTACATATATGAATGAATAACTAAATAAATAAATATAGGTCAACGTAAAGTTCAATAGACGACAAGTGTGAAATAGATGATCGGAAAATAAAGTACACTCAGAAATGTGAATACAGTATGATGCAGACATAAGATGAGTGAAATGCTGTCAAAATAATAGACTGAATTTTTAAAAAAATGTCAGAATATGATAACATAAAGTGAAACAAACAGAACAAAAGTGGAGCGTGACATAAAGAAGGATAAAAAAGTTATTATATGAATTACACAGTAAAATCAAGCCCATGGTAACAAATTATTTTTTTCAAATCCTCCGCAATACGAAGCAAATGCACTCGTGTCACTTTCAGCAAACTTTATCGGACTTTGTAGACTATATTAAACGATTTATTAGACTGTGCGTGGTCACTATCTACAATATGTTGAAAAATCAACGACATCATATACCTCTACCGTCTCCTTTGCTTAACCAAGCTGGGAAGGAGACGCTCTCCAACACGGCTGGATATGTTTCACGATGATTGTCCTATGTATCCAGCTCCACAAAAGCAAGCAAGTGAACATATAAATACTCATGGAATTAGACAATCGAGGTAACATTTCCTTAACATGAAGGTGCACCATTGGACGGTTAGAGTAGGTTATTCGTAAAGTGGCAGCAAAGAACATTTTTCTTAATTATCTTGTAAGACGATTTTTAAATACCTCACTCACTCGTAGTGTCACTCCTAAATTCTAACGTCATCTGTTTCACACATGTTTATTGAACTCTAGGTTAACCTTCAGTTATTATTTGTTTATTCACTTCATGTATCTGATCAATTGTGACTCATTATAATAAAGGTTTATGTATTTCCCAATGAATGAAAAACAAAACGATATTGTTTTTACTGACGTTTCGCTATTTAATGCTAATAGCTTTATCAAAGTATTATTAAACCGGAATTTACAAAATCTCAGCATATATATAACACACAGTTAGGGGGTGAGAAAACAGACATAGGTCAAGTTAAAGGGACATATTGAAAGTCAAAATAGCAATGAAGATCACTAAACCAAATAAGAAAGGTAATAGTGCGTCTGTTATGATATCAAAACAAAGTTTACTAACTTGACCATCGTTCTTCTGTCTGGGGGCATTTTTCGTTGTCAAGTTGGTCAATTGGTAAAGATAACAAAATCAAGTGTGGATTGTTGGATTTGATAGGTGTGTAAAATTATAAAAGTAGTGTGTGTTTACATAGTGAACTTGCTTATCACATTCGTGTTGATTTTGACATTTGATGGGGAGGGAGGTGTTGTAACCAGGTCAGATTCTGTTTTAGTCCATCATTCCTATTCAGGCAATTTTGATTCCACTTGATATGAAGTGCTTCTGATACTAGACGTTCTTTGTGATTTCTGAAGTTTTTCTGGATTATTTCAATATTGTCAAAATCAATTTTGTGGCCTGATTCTATAGCGTGTAGACCTATGGCTGATGATTTTTCAGTTTTTTCTAGTTCCACCGGATTTCTCGATGGTCGAAGAGATACTCTACGGTGTTCATTTCTTCTGATTTTGATTTCTCGAGATGTTTGTCCGATGTATATCGCATCAAATTCCAAGCATTTTATTTTAAAGACACAATTAGGTAGAGAATCTTTAGAGATTTGGTCTTTTATATGGACAAGGTTGCTTCGAAGTGTGTCTGATGTTTTGAAGAAAACTCTAATGTCGAGCTGATTGAGTACTCTTCTGATATCTATCGTCTGACGTCTCTGCTCTATATGAAACGACGACTGTTGATGTCTATGTTTTCGGAATGCGTTTTCGGCCATACTTAATGTCTGTGTTGATTTTGTTGATGAAGTTCCATGGGTAGTTGTTTTGCTTGAGAGTTTCGGTAATGTTTGATATTTCTTCTTATTTTTCTTTCTCATCCGTTATCAGAGAGTGTTCTCGTTTAAGAAGACTTGAAACAACTGAAATCTTTGCGCTGATGGGGTATGATGATTTGAAGTCTAAATATTTATTGGAGTGGGTTTTCTTGCTGAATATGGATATAAGAAAATGTCCGTTTCCCTTTCTCTTAACTAGGCAGTCTAGAAATAGTAGTTCACCGACGTCTGATTCTGCTTCCGAAGTGAACTGGATTCTGGGAGATACACAGTTTATTTTCTCCAGGAATGAATTGTGTAGATCTCGTTTTAGTACTACAAAAGTATCATCTACATATCTTAACCATATTTAAGGAGTGAGTATTCTTCAAAAGATGTTATTTTCGAATTTATTCATGAAAAGGTCGGCGACTATTGGTGAGACTGGTGAACCCATAGCAACACCATTTGTCTGTCTATATAAACTCTCTTTAAATGTAAAATAATTACTTTCTAGAGAGAATTTTAAGCTCTTAATTCTTGTGATTCATATTCATATACACCAATATCATCGCACTTTAGTATTTCATTAAAGGATTTTATCATCAGATGACATTAGTTAGAGAACCAATGCAAAACCTGAGAGTATTACTGTAATTTATATATATATATACGGTTGTACAGCTATGAAGATGAAATCGTCGACAAGAGAAATTTGTTAACTGAATTCTTTCTATAGTTTGGTTTGTAAGGGGTCCAATTAGATGTCACGTGTGTGGATGGATGTCCCACCAACAACAATGTTTGGGGTCACGCTAAATCACGAATGGGTAGAAGTTAGAATTCACGAGCCTTTGAATCGGGTCCCAGTGGCTGAATGGTATACGAGCTTGCCTTGTAACCGGAAGGTCCTGGGTTCGAATCCCAGTGGGTGCGTACTACCGATGATTCCCAAACTAGGATGAATCAGCAGCGATCCAGTACTTCCTGGTTTTCAATGGTTCTCTTATTGATATCAATCTTTGTTTTTATATGCGCAAAGGTTGTATACGAATAAGTTTTTTTAAAGATAAACTGCTTGACACTGATACTGCATATCCTCCCCCTCGCCCCCAACCCTAAACCTAGTTCGGAACACACACTGAAATGCTTCAGCGTTCTTTTCTTATCACAGTTCAAACATTCATTAGAAGTGCTTGTTAGAATGCGACTGCAAGTAATCCTTCAAATGTATATGTACCCACGTGCCTGCTTGCTGTCGATCTGGTGAAGATATTATTATTTTTTCAAGAACTCTATACATAAACATATCCCGATATGCTTAAAACTTAGGCACTATGTAGTGTGCACTTCCATAATTATTTATTTATTAGATGAATATATCACATAGTGTGAGACAGTATTATAATTATTTACTGGATGAAAAAGTTTCGAACACAATTTATTATTGTTCATAAACACATCATCAGCTTTAACTGTTCAACTTCAAAACTTTCACTGAAAAATTCTGTGCCACCCGTACGACAAATGGAAAGGAATAAAGAAAACTATAAATATAAAATGAAAGTTTCGAAGCTGTTTAGTTAAAGCTGACGATATGTTTGTGAACAATAATAAA